TTCCCTCCTTCCTTCCTTCCTTCCTTCCTTCCTTCCTTCCTTCCTTCTTTCCTTCTTTCCTTCCTTCCTTCCTTCCTTCCTTCCTTCCTTCCTTCCTTCCTTCTTTCCTTCCTTCTTTCCTTCCTTCCTTCCTTCCTTCCTTCCTTCCTTCCTTCCTCCCTCCCTCCCTCCTTCCCTTCCTTCTTTATTTATTTCCTTCCTTCCTTCCTTCCTTCCTTCCTTCCTTCCTTCCTTCCTTCCTTCCTTCCTTCCTTCCTTCCTTCCTTCCTTCCTTCCTTCCTTCCTTCCTTCCTTCCTTCCTTCCTTCCTTCCTTCCTTCCCTCCTTCCTTCCTTCCTTCCTTCCTTCCTTCCTTCCTTCCTTCTTTCCTTCTTTCCTCAGTGAGTTCGGTACCAGGCTCAGCCTTTCTTCCCCAACTTCTGCCCTCCTACTAGGAGACTTCTGCTTCCATGATGATGTTACTCTGTGACACCCCAACTGCATGGTTCCTCAGTTTCTTCTTTTCCCATGATGTTGCCTGCCAGCTCACCTCTGCTTCACACACAGACTCGTATCTTTGATCCTGCCATCGTCCATAAGTGTTTTCCTTTCATATCCATGACCTCCAGAATTCCTTTAGCTAATCACGCTCTTGTCATTCCACCATTCTTTCCACCATACAATCCCTAGCTCTGTCCTTTATCCTCCCCTTGACCCCCAGTCCCTCTGTTCTTCAGTTCTTTCCCATGCTACCTCCCCCCTGCTCTGGCACCTCTGCCCACCCCTATTTTGACTCCTTGGTGAAACAATTCACCTCTACACTGTCCTCGTCTTTCAGGTCATTTGCCCTCATGGTTAATCGCCAGTCTTGCGTTGCTGAGCCTCAGCCTTGAATTACTCCTACTGTGTGCTGCTGAAAGAAGCCGGAGGAAATGATGAACTTGTGCTGATGGGGCCCCCTGCCGCTGTAGGGCACGTCTTCTCAGCTGGGCTCTCATTGTGGGCAAGGCTTTTATGTGTCCTGATTGAGCCACTGCCCTACTCGCTACAAACCTTGGTGTCCCTCCTCACATCTCCCCTTTCTCAGATGAGAACCTTGCTTCATATTTTGTTTAAAAAATGGAGGCAATTCCCTCTTCTCCTCTTCATTTCACCCCACTTAGCTGCCTCTTTCCACTCTCTCCTCCACCCCATCTTTCACGGACAAGTGGATTTTCTCCTTGCCAAGCAGATCCCTCAGCAATCTATGTTCCTGCTCCTTTTCCTCTGTCTCTTCTGAACTCTCGGCGGTCTGGCTTCCGACCTCATCTGTCCACTGAAACTGCTCTCTCCAATGTTGCCAGTGATCTCTGACTTGCCAAATCCCATGGTCTTTACTCAATCTTCGTTCTTCTTGACCTCTCTGCAGCCTTGGACCTGTCAGTCACCCTCTTCTGTTTGATCTTTTCTTCTCTCTCTCCTAGTTCTTCTCCTCGCTTGTCTGACTGGCCCTTCTTGCTCTCCTCTGCTGGATCTTCATTCAGGTCACGCCCACTCACCGGGGGTGGCCCCCCAGGTTCTGTCCTGGCTCCTCTTCCCTTCTGCCTTGGCCCTTTTTCACTTGGTGTTCTCAGTTCCCATGGATTCAGTTTTTCTCTCTGTGCCAGTTTTTCTCAGCGATTTGTCTGCTCTTTACCTCCCCATGTATCAGCTACTCACCTGCCATGTGTCTGTAGGGAAGTCCTTCAGCCTCTGATAGTCTCAGAAGTGGCTTGGGATGATAAAGTGGGCACACTTTATACCTCCCAGGGTAGATGTTTCATAAGTGCTTTGCAAACCTGACAGCACTCTAGGAAGACAAATAATTATTTTTAAGTGGCAGTGACTTCATATTTCAAGACTGTCAATATCAATATCATTTACAAGATGTTTTGCCATGATTTTACTAATTATTCTTTGCAATAATTTTTTTGAGAAAGGTTAGTATACATTGTACCTCTCTCTGTCTTACAGCCAAGTGTCATGAAGCATAAAGAGACAAATGATTTATTAGGTTTATATAGTATTATGAAAGCTACAGGTTCAGCCTGAGGCAAACTCATCGCCTGTCTGTGATGCCCTTGTGTATCCCTTCCTGCAGCCTTCTTTCTAAGCCTTCCATTTCCTGTTTCCTGTCCACAGGTGCCCAATAATTTAGGGATCCCACGCTGCCCAAGCACCCCCTCAGACGAAGTGGCCCCTGTGTCAAAATAATATTTCCTCATTCTTTTCCCTCCCTTTTCCTCGTCCCCTCCCATCAAAACCCTCCATCCTTCAGTGTGGAAGATCTTAGGTAGGCCTTAAGAGAAAAGCAATCATGGAGAACATTAATTGGTGAATGACTTTCTAAGCTTCTAATTCTACCTATTTTCAAGTTAAAGGATAAAGTTCGTCCACTCAAAATTCTAGGAGGTTGTGTTTACCTTTTTTAAAAATTAGGATGAAACTTTCTTTAATTCCCATTACATGGTTTCTATATAAATCTCACCTTCAGTGGCAATACTGAGATAAAAACCTAAAAGCCAGGACTGTATCTCTTAGCTTGTATCCAAAGCAGCTATTTTATGTTATTTCACTTATTTAGAAGTATTTTACAGGCCCAAGACTTCACTTACATGATAGATTAAAGAATGGTAAAACTGGAAGGGTGTTTGGTTGAGCCTTCTTATTTTAGAGGTGGGGAAACTGAGGCCCAGGTAGAGTTGTTGAGTGAAGAGCTGGCATTAGCTTCCCAGTTTCCTTGGTTCCTGTTCTAATCCCAGGGCTGTATCCTTGAATTGAAGGGGTTGTATTTACTTTTGATCCTAGGATTTTTTTTCCTCAAAATTCAGTTTATTTTCCTAAGAATATGCTTCCCTGTTGTTTTTCAGTATCCGGAATTTAATGCAGAAGTATCTTAATGAGAGAGGTGAATTAACATTTGACAAGATTTTCAATCAGAAAATTGGTGAGTTCTACACTGCATGCTTTCATTTCAGTAGTGATGGTTGTTATGATAGCAAAGTAATTATGAATGTACAATTTAATATTTTATATCTGATATTGAAAAGAAGGGAGATGTTTCTGGTCAGAAGAATATGTACTTTGTGAAGCTTTATTTGCTGATCATAAGAATGAAGGGGTCCATCGAGCAGAGAATGGTGGAAAGGCCACAAGACTCGGACTCTGGTTTGAGGCCTGTCTTTGCCATTTATGAGTTGTGGGCCCTCGGGCCAGTCACTCAGTTTCTCTGAGCCCCCAGCCTTTTCATCTTTAAAATGGGAATAATAATGCCTGCTTGACTGACCTCATCCAATGATTAGGAGGATCAGATTGAGAATATGTATGAAATCGATTTGTTAGACAGATGTCCCTGGCTAAGTGAAGACAGCAGCAGCAGCAGCAGCAATAGCAATTAGCTACGCAGAGTAGCCTCTGAGGAAACACAAGTTCACTCCCAGGGGACTTATTTGGAGCAGTTTTTGCAAGTTTCCCTGGAGGGTCCTTTGACCAGTACAAAAGGTGAATTCTTTGGAGTATGGGAGTAGTCGCTTAGCAGCCAAAAAGGAGGTTCTTTCTCTCTTAAAAAATTTGTTGTGTTAGCCAGTGAGGACTCAGCTGCCCCGAGAACTCCATCCCTTGATGGAATTTTCAGTTTCCCTTCTTCCTTGTGCCCTCATCCCTCTTAGGGAGTTAGAATCCCTTCTTAGGAACATGAACTCTGTCTTGGAGCTCTGTAGGTGAGGTAGATGTGGAAAGAGTCCCGGGTTCAGAGTCAGAGGATGGGGATTCGTATTCAAGCTCTCCTTCATATGTGACTTTGAGTAAGGCGTGTTACCTAGGCCTCAGTTTCCTCCTCTGTAAAGAGCCCCTTTGGGCACAATGGAGAAAAATTGCTCTGTCCCTTTTTTTAATCAAGAAAACTTTGGCTCTTATTGGACTCACCCCACTTATATGGACAACATACAAGTTTTTGTTAAATATACAAAATAAAAATAAAATCCTTTATGTCTATGCCACTAATAATAAGGACTCTTATCCTGTAACACGGGCAATTCTGCTATGTTAGCCAGATGTAGGAAGCACTGTTTGCCCAACACCCATGGCAGGTGTTGATTTTGGCCAGGGATGATGCATAATTATTGGTTCCTGGTCATCTAGTAGTTAATTCGTGGCAAACTTATGAAAAGGGAATGTGAGTGGCATCAGGCATGTACAAAAGCAAGATGGAGAAACAAGGAATCATGGGCTCATTTATCTCAGAAGGTGACAGCTGACACGTTTGCTTGGAGGTAAACATCAGTAGGACTGACTGGACAAATTGTTTCCTGGTTACTGTTTTCCCCCCATTCCCAGAAAACAAATGGCGCTTTTCAGAAATTTTATAATTCCCTGAATGGTATTTTATTCTCAGTCAGGCAGGGTTAATTTATCCTCCGTCTCTTTTACTTAGCATGACAGCCAACAGAACTGACGCCACCTTCCTTGAAATGATGAATGTGCTGATTCTAGGGCTCTTGGTGTGCTGACCTTTACTGATCTTGGGAGAACTCTCCAGGCCTAGCTGACAGTTCAGCTTCCTGAAACGCTGCCTTTGCCTTTCATGAATAATGACTTGCCACCAGTGCTGACTTAACATGGACTGCTGCAGACCTTGGCTTTCATGAAGGTCTCTACAAATAAAGAGATCGCAAAATAATGAGGCTCAGCATAGCCTGTCTAAAGCTCTTCCCCATCCTGGTTCCTCTTTCCCCATGTTGTTACTGAGTTGGAGTGTCTTCAGTATTAATTCAGTCCTCGTCACTAGTTGGAAGATAACTAATGGAGAATGTTGTATGAGTAACCAGTTAGTAAGAATACGGATGAAGAGAATGGAGAGACTTTAGGGTTTTTGGGGTCCAACATAAAGAACTAGGTCAAGTGCTAAAGTGGAAATACTATGTGTACTAACTGGCAAAAATAAGTTAGCTGTCATGTGTTGCACCTTATGTCATAGAACATGAAATGTGTTGGTATAGGAAGGTCAGTGTCGTCAGAGAATAGGGGACAGAAGAGGGTAAGCCTATCTGGTCTGTTAGGAGGCTTTTTATCTTTAACTACACAGGGAAGACATAACTGATTTCTTTTTTTTTTCTCAAGATTCATTAATTTATTTATTTTTAGTTTTTAGCATTCACTTCCACAAGATTTTGAGTTCCAAGTTTTCTCCCCATCTTATCCCTCCCCCCGCCTTAAGACAATGTGCATTCTGAATGCCCTTTCCCCTAATCTGCCCCCCTTCTATCTCCCCCCCTTCTCTTATCCTCTTCCCCTTCTATTTTTCTGTAGATAGATAGATTTCTATACCCTATTTCCTGTATATCTTATATCCCAGTTGCATGTGAAAACAATTTTTTAACATTTGTTTTGGTTCCAAATTTTCTCCCTTCCTCCCTCCCCTCCCACCTTCATTGAGAAGGCAAGCAACTCGATACAGGTTATATGTGTGTAGTCATGCAAAACACTTCCATAGTAGTCATGTTGTGGAAAGCTAACTATATTTCCCTTCATCCTATCCCACCTCGTTTATTCTATTCTCTCTTTTGACCCTATCCCTCCTCAGAAGCGTTTGCTTCTGATTACCCCCTTCCCCAATCTGTCCTCTCCTCTATCATCCCCCCACTCTCTTATCCCCTTCCCCCCTATTTTCTTGTTGGGTAAGATAGCTTTCCATATCCAATTGAGTGTGTATGTTATTCCCTCCTTAAGCCAAATCTGATGAGAATAAGATTCACTCATTCCCTCTCACCTCCCCCCACTTCCCCTTCTACTGTAAAAGTCTTTTCTTGACTGTTTTATGTGAGATAATTCACCCCATTCTACCTCTCCCTTTCTTCTTCTCCCAGTATAATTCTCTCTCATCCCTTAATTTTATTCTCCAGATATCACCCATTCATCTTCAACTCACCCTGTGCGCTCTATCTATCATTCTATCTATACATGTAATTTTTTTCCACCTCCAACTACCCTAATACTGACTAAGGTCTCATGAGTTACAAATATCATCTTTCCATGTAGGAATGTAAACAGTTCAACCTTAATAAGTCCCTTATGATTTCTCTTTCCTGTTTACCTCTTCATGTTTCTCTTGAGTCTTGTATTTGAAAGTCAAATTTTCTATTCAGCTCTGGTCTTTTCATCAAGAATGCTTGAAAGTCCTCTATTTCACTGAATGTCCATTTTTTCCTCTGAAGGATTATACTCAGTTTTGCTGGGCAGGTGATTCTTGGCTGTAATCCTATCTCTTTTGCCCTCCGGAATATCATATTCCAAGCCCTGCAGTCCCTTAATGTAGAAGCTGCTAAATCCTGTGTTATCCAAATTGTGTTTCCACAATACTTGAATTATTTCTTTCTGGCTGCTTGCAATATTTTCTCCTTGACCTGGAACTCTGGAATTTGGCTATAATATTCCTAGGAATTTTCCTTTGGGGATCTCTTTCAGGAGGTGATCGGTGAATTCTTTCAATTTCTATTTTACCCTCTGGTTCTAAAATATCAAGGCAGTTTTCCTTGATAATTTCTTGAAAGATGATGTCTAGGCTCTCTTTTTGATGATGGCTTTCAGATAGTCCAATAATTTTTAAATTCTCTCTCCTGGATCTATTTTCCAGGTCAGTTGTTTTTCCAATGAGATATTTCACATTTTCTTCTATTTTTTTCGTTCTTTTGGTTTTGTTTTGCAATGTCTTGATTTCTCATGAAGTCACTAGCTTCCAATTGTTCCATTCTAATTTTTAAGGGAGTATTTTCTTCAGTGAGCTTTTGGACTTCCTTTTCCATTTGGCCAGTTCTACTTTTTAAGGTGTTCTTCTCATTGGCTTTTTGGACCTCTTTTGCCATTTGGATTAGGCTATTTTTTAAGGTGTTATTTTCTTCAGTATTTTTTTGGATTTCCTTCAGCAAGCTGTTGACTTGTTTTTCAGGATTTTCTTGCATCACTCTCATTTTTCTTCCCAGTTTTTCCTCTACTTCTCTTACTTGATTCTCAAAATCCTTTTTGAGCTCTTCCATGGCCTGGGACTGTTTCATATTTTTCTTGGAGGCTTTGGATGTAGGAGCTTTGACTTTGTTTTCTTCTTCTGGTTGTATGTTTTAATCTTCTTTGTCACCAAAGAAAGATTCTGTGGTCTGACTTTTTTGCATAGTTTGCTCATGATCTCAGCAAGTTACTTGAGTTTTAAACTCTTTGTTAAGGTAGGGGTCTGCTTCCAGTGTGGAGAATGTACTGTCCCAAGCTTTGGGGGTTTTGTGCAACTCTTTTCAGAGGTACTTCTTTTTTTTTCCCTCTTTTTTTTATTAATTTATTTTGATTTATCAATAATCACTTCCATATGCTTTTGAGTTTAAAATTTTTCTCCCTCTATCTCCCCACCACCCTCCCCAAGACAGCGCATAATCTGATATAGGCTATACATTTACATTCATATTAAACATATTTTCACATTAGTAATGTTGTAAGTAGAAATAAAAGCCAATAGGAGGAACCATCAGAAAGAGGAAACAAAACTCAACAGAAGACGAAAAAAATAAGAATTCGGCTTCCATAGTTCTTTCTTTGGGTGTGGATAGCATTTTCCATCACAAGGCCTCCAGAGATGTTTTAGATCCTTATATTGCCAGGAAGGGTTAAGTTTATCAATATTAGTCATCACACAACATGGCTGTTGTTGTGTACAACGTTCTCTTGGTTCTGCTCACTTCACTTAGCATCAGACCATACAAGTCTTTCCAGGTTTTTCTGAAGTCAGCCTGTTCATCATTTCTTATAGCACAATAGTATTCTATAACATTCATATACCACAACTTGTTCAGCCATTCCCCCATTGATGGGCATCCTCTCAATTTCCAATTCTTTGCCACCACAAAAAGAGCTGCTATGAATATTTTTGTACATGCAGGTCCTTTTCCCATTTGTGTGATCTCTTTG